TACATATCACTCATAATTTCCTTCATTAAATTCATTTCACTATCAATATTATTATCATTTATATGTATTAATCATATCCCCTTGTACCTAATATTTTTAACCAACATATGACTCATTTAATCAAACAATACACATATCATCATATAAATCACGTAATACAATTCATATCACAAAAGCATATGCTTCACAGGTAATATGTTCATTGTTATCTCTTTGTTTAGCCCATGTATACTTCTGAGAACTAAAGATATGTGAGTACATAGAGGTTGTGCACTATGATGTCACCACAGCTCGTATAAATGCACCAAAGTGTCACGTAGATTTGCATCGAAGTGTCGCGTAAAAATGCACCGAAGTGCCATATAAGATGTCCCTAAGGACCACATAGAAATTCCTTAAGAACCATATACATAATACAATGGACCACATAAGTGTACCGAAGTACCACATATTTGTTCCACAAAATTACATATATGTCCCGAAGGACCACGTAGAACCTTCGACTCTTGCATGCCAACTATACCTCTAGCTCTCGTGACACATAACATGGGCATTATCATTTATCTTATTTCACATAATCATATCACGTAAACACATGTTCTCATAGCTTCTTATCACATCATGTGATCATATCACTTATAAGCGCATAGTTCATATTCATATATATTATCTACATGTATACACATGAATCCAATAGAGTGTACCAAATCATATAAACATATATATAACTCATGTAATCACATTACTTATACTAACAGGGATCAATATCATAGAACTTAATTCACTTCTTCATGTTGTCATACCGGCATAATCATATATTAATCCTATAAGTAAAAGCTATTTATCTTTATCTCATTTTCCCTTGGTACTAGTTTACATGGTTTATTATACTAGCTTGTACAATAATATATAACCCTTATCACTTATCCACATTATTTAAATATAAGCTTATTTTATCTATTTAATTTAGTTCCACATAACTCCTACAACCTTCTCATAGGTTTATAGATCTTCGTTTTATAACTCCTATATCATAGTTTCCTTTAAGTATATCACACTTTCCTGTAGTGCTTATCCTATAGGTTCGTATCATCATTATATTCATGTCCCCTAATTTATACATTATTTTCATAGAGTCTCCTAATTTATTATCTTATGATTTATATTTTGTTCTCTTAAGTCTTCTCATAGTCATATATCTTCATGACTTATCACTTATATGTAGCTTACATCTCATTCTTATGCATTACAATAAACCTTGGCTTAATTATTCTATCTTGTCTCTTATAAGCATATCATTGCATAACTTATTTTATGCTTTCCCATTAATACATAATAGTATTTTACATAAATCATGTATCACATACAATGCATATCAACATATAACACATATAATCCTATCAACCATGCTCATGTTCATGACTTCATGCATATTAATCTAGGAAATAGACTCATCGCAAGTCCAATTTCCTTTAAACATTACATATCACTAGTATACACTCACATGGCCTCACTAGTCAATACCGTTTTCTTATTTTATCTCGATGCCTATTTCTTGTCAACTTGCCCAGACGTTGTTCTCGATCGATATCTACACAATCATACATATAATATACATATCAGCATTCCACTTGGCATACTCTAATCTTTCATTTCTTAAACTAAAAGAAAGATTTATTTCTATTTTCTCTTTGAAGTGTATCGATACACACTATAGGGTATCGATACATCCTTTCACTGGTGTATCGATACACAAATTACATTCGAAACTTTTCGTTTCAAGGGGGTATCGATACACTCCTTAATGTATTGATACACCATGAATATGTTCTTCAAAATTGGTCTTAGTGTATCGGTACCTGTTCATAGGGTACCGATACACCCTGCCCAAAAATCACTCTTAAGCCCGAAAATTTACTCATTCTAACTCAATTCCTTCATAACTTAGCTCCTTAATACCCTTGACTCCAGGATACATACTCAAACATTTTCCTAAGCATTTAACACATCTTAATCTTCAAAATCTCATCCTCAAGATGGAAATTAAAAATCATACCAATTTTCTAACATGTTTATAATTCATTTCTATTACTTCTATCCTCTTAATTAGACCTTTGACAAGTCAAATTCAACTTAAAAATCCATTTATTTCTTCTTAATCAATAATTCACTTAAAACTCATTTTACTTAATCTCTCATAACTTGAAATTCTTTGAGTATTAAGCTACCTTAAGCTTCCTTTAAGCTTATTTAACATCCCAAGAATAAAACCAACTCAAAACTTGAAAGAATTAACCAACTGAAAGCATTCTCACCTTGACAATAAAGACACGGGAAGAGAAGAAGAAGAAACTTGCATTCTCTAGACTTTTTCTATTTCCTTTCTCTATTTCCACGTGTTACACCTTTAATAAGGGAAAATAAAAATCTTCCTTAGTTAATGACCATTCTACCCTCTCATCTTTCTAACTTTACTATTAAATCCAACATCAAAATTCTCCAATTAAGTTCCTGAACTTTTAACTTGTTTCGAAATTGAGCACAAAATTTATAATTTAGTCACTAGCCCTGTTTTTGGGATGTTACACTTCTCTTTCTTAGAGGGTCTTTTTGTCCGCTTTGTACGAGCTTTTATCGTTGTTTCAGATTCAACATTTCTTGGGAAATTGTGATCACAATTGGAACGACAATGTTAGGGAGCTTTAACCTTACCAAAAGGATAAAGAAAGAATGGAAAAAAAAGAAAGAACAAGAAGTTTAAAGAGAACATACTCGAATGAATTGGATTCGCCTGTATTCACATCTAGTGAATCAAAAGAACTATCAACTCGGTTTGATTTGTATGCTCGGACTATGTAAACCTACAAAAATGTAATAGAAGCAAATTTGTTTGGGAAACTGTCAGCTAGATTTGTTTGAAGATCCTCCATTGCTCTATAACATTAGGCTTGATATGATCAAAGATTAATACCTTTAGCTTTCTTTTATTTGCAGCATTTCACGAGAAATTAACACAAGCTAAATCCTAACATAAACTCAAAACTATATCACTAATCCTAAACGATAATCCATATGAAGTGTAAAAATTATCTCAAGCGACGCCAACACAATTGTCTGACAATGGAAAGGAAAAAAGAAAAACTTATTGCCGAAGTTAAATATACTAAGTAACAAACTATTTAAATTTAAAGCTAACTCGAGTTAGAGTAGTTCCTTATAGAGTCCTGATATCAAACAGAGAACCATAAATCATATGTATGCATTTGTTCTTTGATTATGTGCTATTGTCTCTACTTTAGATCCAATGAAACAGTGTCAATGGTTTGGTCTTCTTTCCTTTTATGGAATATTTTTGGAAATTGTTCTCCTTTTTCTTCACAAGACTTATGCATATCTTTAGTAATTCACATGAGCTTCAATGTGTGCTTATAGAGATTGTTTGCTCTTGTATGATTTAAGTGACAAAGATTATAAGAATGTTCCATAATTATTTGTCTAGTTTACGTTCATGGTTGTAAATTTTTATTATAATTTTGAATATTTTTAAAAAAAAAATAAAACTAATCACTTTTATTTGCATAAAAAATAGCTACAACTATAAGCAAATGACAAAAAAAAAAAAACAGTGAAAAATTATGACAAAATTGTTTTCTGTGGTTCATTTAATTTCGAAACAACAACAGTAAATTGGGAGTGATCACGATCTCTAAAAGGGCCATTAAGCTAACCTCAATATCCCACATTGTCAAAAAACATAACCTAAACACTCTAATATGACTATATAAATTAACCCCATTAAGCTCTTCAACTCATGAAACTAATATGGATTAAATTACAATGTTAGTCCTTATAGTTTTATTTTTTGAATTTTTTAAAGCATATTTTTTTTAAAATGCGAAGGCTTTGATGATGATTTGCACCTTCCCTTACGTGGTGCCAGCTCAGATAAAACCCAGCAAAGGCACGAATGGTGATCTGCGTCTCTCATGACGTGGAGCTAGCTCGGACGTGGAGCTAGCTCGGACGAAACTCCGCAAAGGCACGGATGACAATATGTGCCTTGTCTGAAAGGATGCTATATTGGTAAAATTTGGCGAAACGGTACTTGACAGGTAATTATTTACTGTCAGGGTGATTTTAGGGTAAAATCACCAACAGAAAGGGACCTAATTACTTTAATTTTGATGTATACATTAGTTTTCCTGTGGTTGCAAATGTCATCTTTTTATTGCGGGACTCTACTGGTAGATAATTCATTGGGTTTACGAAAGGTATAGGATGCTGTTTGATTTTAGATGCGGAGTCCTAGAGTGTGCACGAGAGATTAGAGTGTTACATGAAAACGATACGGGCTATCATCGTGGAGACTATAGTAACGACATTTTGTCTCTACTTGGACAGGTGCGGCAATGAAAGGTGTATCCATATGATTCCGCACATCTTTTAGTTGTTTCGACGTGATTGGCATTTGAAGTTCACTCATGTGTCTTGAGAAGGAAATAAGGTAACAGATGACATGACTAAACTGACGTGAACACTTCCCCTTCGTGTTCGAACTTTCCAACACCCACCTTATTTGATAGGATTGCTGCTGCATGGTTGTTTAGCTCAGTTCTCTGTTCTTTCTCCTTTGTGTATTAAAAAAGAAGTTAAAACCACCATTTGAATTTGACCCATAACCATTTCCAAAATGAAATTCAGAAAAAAGAAAGTGTAATTACAATTATGAAGGTAGACAATAAGGACCTCCAATGTTCATGCACAATCAAAGAGTTGTATGGAATATAAAAAGGCAAAAGGATAAGAAAGATGTAGCAAATGTATGCCTTGGATCATACATTATCTCAAGCTGAACCACCAGGTAAAATAACAAAGCCGACGACTATAGACAAATCCATGGATCTATAATCCATATCACATGACATAGTATGAAATAAACAAAAGAAGAATAGTATAAAAACCTGTACAAGTAAAAACTTCGATTGATTATCATCAAGCAAGGCAGGCTGCCAAGTATCTTCCCGTTCTACATAATAAGGCTCGTCCAATCCGAATCTGATCCCCTCCAGTGACTTACGGTTTATGCCATCTTCCCCACTAATCTGAAAACCGACGACAGAATATTTAACTGCAAAAGTGATGCTTTAACATATTGTGTCAACTTGGTTCTTTACTCTCAGAAGTCATACACTTGAATGATTGGTGAAAAGATTTGACAGCCTGAATACATGTATCATTTTATATAACTAGAAATTTGGTAATTTTCAATCTTGTAGGCACACCATCTGACCTGCTGCAGAACCAAAAACTAACATGTATCTGCAGCATGCTGGGCGTTATTGATCAAAAGTCTGGTCAAATATCATTTCCTGTAACATTAAAAAAGGTTTACATGTCACTACTTTGAAAGACATGTATTAACATATTAAACATGCCAGGTGATACAAAGTACAAGATTTGGCATAGGGAATAGAAGGCATAGCAGATTCATAGATGTAATAATATATTTACAGAGAGGCTTCAAGTGAAGTCCAAGTACTTGCACACAGGGCCGGTCCTAACATTTTAAGGGCCCTAGGCAAAATAAGAGATAAGAGCCCTTAAAAAAATAATTTAAAATTCAAGAATAAATTTCGGTAAACGCCAAATAAATTTTTTCATTAAAAATTATATGAGTAGATTATATTAACCAACATTATTTTACCAAATATATAAAGAGACATCACAATTTTTCACTCAATTTACTCCTATTATGTCTTCAATAATCTCTTAGAATCGTCTCTCTCAATCGAAAATTGACGTCTCTCACCTACAAAACAACATACACAAATAAAAATAAATAGGCTGATGACTAAATACAAAACCCGCGAGAAATATTAGGGGCTAAACAACAGATTATCCAAAAATGCGTAACATACATGAAAAAAGGAAAATTTACACATCAACACCTATAACAAGAGAATATAACTAAATTAAACCCCCTTAGGACTAAAATACAAAACAAATTAGGGGACCTAGAACGTGAATAACCCATAAACCTATAATATATAACCCAACTTCATCCCCTTAATTTCATTTATCCCCGGTCCCCCAAAAGCAGAGCTAAAGCTCTCCATCTCCCCCCTCGGGCGAGAAGTTCGCCGAACCCGTGCGCCACCGTCTTACTCATTGCTCCGGCCACCACACGCGATGGTCGGACCCCTAAACTATCTAAAAGTAACCCTTTTTCTCCGATCTACCATTCTCAAACCGGATCCAACACTGAAACGCCCAAAACAGACCTCGGATCCACTAGAAAATGGTCTGACCCTTCGAATGCCTAGCATTCCGGCGACCCACGACGACGGAGCAACCCCTACTCTCCCAGAAACCTCCTAACCTAACCCGTTAAAAACTAGATTTAGACAGAAAAACAACATGCAAGGACCTCGAGCTTCTAATCTGTTCGGCCTCCCTGCCATCGACCTACATTGGCGGCCTAACTCTGGTGAGACCCCTCCTCTCTGTTTATTTTTTGTTATTTTGCTGATTAGCTGGGTTGATTAGAGCCGAAATAAACTTGTTTATTTTTTATTTCGAAATATACATATGGGCGCTACCATGCTCGAAAAGGAAAAAAGTTATATATTCGAAATGCTAGATCTGGGTTTTTAGAAGAATTATCACAGTAAAAAAACAATATGTAATATGATTTATCCGAACTAAAAGTAAATATAATGGTTTGCTAGATAAGAAATGAACCAATAAAAAAAGCATGCATTCGAACAATAAAAAAACAATGAGTAATAGGTAACCTTTGAAATTTATTATTCCTTGAAGATGAGTTTACAGTGTCTTTGTAAGGATTTTTTTCGAATCCCCTTTACATTCTGTTTGCTTGGTTTAAATACCCAGTTACAATCGAATAAAAAACTATTCTACTTCCTTGTGTTCTATTTTTTTTTGCAGGTGAGTGGGATGTGTTGGAGCCCGTTAATGTTTTTTATATATCCCCATAATATGTTGCTTCCCATTGTTGGTAGAGAAAAGCTAAATTAATCTCCCTTGCTTGGCGTGCTCCCGGATATGCGTGAGTGGAAGTATGGGCACTAGCGTATAGTGGAGGAGCATGAGTGAGGTCTTGGTCTACTCAATTATAGTGCTTCACGTGGGGGAAAGGCATGGGCCCCCTCCAAACCTTAAAAATATGAAATTGTAAAAATATTTTTTTAATTATTAAAACTTAAAAATTATAAAATTATTATTATTTTCAAGAATGGGCCCTTCCAAACCTAGGCCCTTACCACTATCCAGGGCTCAGAGCCGGCCCTGAGGGCGACCTCCTAGGGCCCAAGTTTAGAGGGGGCCCATTCTTGAAAATAATAATAAATTTATAATTTTTAAGTTTTAATAATAAAAAATATTTTTACAATTTCATATTTTTAAGGTTTGGAAGAGGCCCATGCCTTTCCCCCACGTGAAGCACCATAATTGAGCAGACCAAGACCTCACCCATACTCCACTATATGCTAGTGCCCATACTCCCACTCACGCATATTCGGGAGCACGCCAAGCAAGGGAGATTAATTTAGTTTTTCTCTACCAACAATGGGGAGCAATATATTATGGGGATATATAAAAAACATTAACGGGCTCCAACACATCCCACTCACCTGCAAAAAAACATAGAACACAAAGAAGTAGAATAGTTTTTTATTTGATTGTAACTGGGTATTTAAACCAAGCAAACAGAATGTAAAGGGGATTCGAAAAAAATCCTTACAAAGACACTGTAAACTCGTCTTCAAGGAATAATAGATTTCAAAGGTTACCTATTACTCATTGTTTTTTATTGTTTGAATGCATGCTTTTTTTTATTGTTTCATTTCTTATCTAGCAAACCATTATATTTACTTTTAGTTCGGATAAAACATATTACATATTGTTTTTTACTGTGATAATTCTTCTAAAAACCCAGATCTAGCATTTTGAATATATAACTTTTTTCTTTTCGAGCATGGTAACACCTATATGTATATTTCGAAATAACAAATAAAAAATAAACAAGTTTATTTCGGCTCTAATCAACCCACCTAACCAGGAAAATAACAAAAAATAAACAGAGAGGAGGGGTCTCACCAGAGTTAGGCCGCCGATGTAGGTCGATGACAGGGAGGCCGAACAGATTAGAAGCTCGAGGTCCTTGCATGTTGTTTTTCTGTCTAGATCTAGTTTTTAATAGGTTAGGTTGGGAGGTTTCGAGGTGAGTAGGGGTTGCTCCGTCGTCGTGGGTCGCCAGAGTGCTAGGCATTCGAAGGGTCGGACCATTTTCGAGTGGATCCGAGGTCTGTTTGGGGTGTTTCGGTGTTGGATCCGGTTTGAGAAGGGTAGATCAGAGAAAAAGGGTTACTTTCGATAGTTTAGGGGTCCGACCACCGCGTGTGGTGGCCAGAGCAATGGCTAAGACGGCGACGCACGGGTTCGACGAACTTCTCGCCCGAGGGGAGGAGAAGGGAGATGGAGAGCTTTAGCTTTGCTTTTGGGGGCTGGGGATAAAATGAAACTAAGGGATGAAATTGGGTTATATATTATAGGTTTATGGGTTATTCACGTTCTAGGTCTCCTGATTTGTTCCGTGTTTTGTATTTTAGTCCTAAGGGAGGTTTAATTTAGTTATATTCTCTTGTTATAGGTGCTGATGTGTAAATTTTCCTTTTTCCATGTATATTACGCATTTTTGGAAAATCTGTTGTTTAGTTCCTAATATTTCCCGCGTGTTTTGTATTTAGTCATCAGCCTATTTATTTCTATTTTATTTATGTATGTTGTTTTGTAGGTGAGAGGCGTCAATTTTCGATTGAGATAAACGATTCTAAGAGATGATTAAAGACATAATAGGAGTAAATTGAGTGAAAAATTGTGATGTCTCTTTATATATTTGGTAAAATAATGTTGGTTAATATAATAGAATCTACTCATATAATTTTTAATAAAAAAATTTGTTTGGCGTTTGCCGAAATTTATTCTTGAATTTTAAGTTATTTTTTTAAGGGCCTTTATCTCTTATTTTGCCTAGGGCCCTTAAAATGTCAGGACCGACCCTGGTTGTTCTCCTCGCCTGGGCTCAGGGCCGGCTCTGCTTGCACAACGTTCATGACAGACAGTTTGAGTCCAAAATATTGTTGGGTACAGTAAATCGGATCCAGTCCAAGCCTTGTCCTTAGTTGATCAATGCAACCCAGGTAAACCTATGCAGTATAATTAATTACAATAAATTCAACTTGAAAGAGACAAACCTGATCACACATAGGGCAGGTGTCACTTCTTTCCATCCACTCCAAAACGCATGAGAGGTGATAATGATGTTCACATTTTGTAATAAGTTTTGGATTCTCTGTGTCATACTCTGCGTATGCAAAACCCACAGAAAAGCCATTACTTATTTTTCAAATGCACTGATCAGTTACAGCAACAAAGGCAACAGATCTACCTCTACAGGCAATTAAGGCCATGACAATGAGATTACAATACCTTCAAGACAAATAGGACAAGCATCCTCTTCCTCTGTCGTTGATTCCTTAGATTTGGTTAATTTTGAGACTTCTGGTTTTCTTGGTGAAAAAAGCAAACCAGACTGTGTTTTGCAGCCTGATTCCTCAAGATCTTCACAAGTTCCCAGAGTCTCGAGACTGCCTCTACTCAGAGTTTCTATGAAGGGCTCTGAATCGGTTGATTGCGGACATCCCGAGACCACATCATATGGCAAAGGTGCTGGAGGTGGCCTAAAGGTGTCAGGTACTTCTAAATGCAAGTTAACCAGGAACCTTGCAGCCAATGCAGAGGCTGATCCTTCGTGAGGTGTTAAAGACTCATTCTCTTCCAAAGCTGGTGGATACTGTGGGAGGAGTGTTAAAATTCAAAGAAATGATTATAATAAAGATTATCAGAATGTGTATATCACAATAGTAGATAAATGGAGATCACCTATACAAATTAGAAATTATCACGTAAGCTACTAGAAAACCAGTGGCCATTGGAAACAAGCAGTACAAGACTCAAAAGCTCCATTCTTCCAATGCATATGCAGTCAGGCTCATATGAATCTTTTATGGTATTTTGAGGAGGGAGTTCTCAAGTTAAGGGACCCTAACGCTCACACCAAATTTCAGTTTTCCTTTTTCTGCTCTGTAATAAAATTTTCCCTTCTTAAAGTAAACTAAAAGAATCAAATTAGTTGGCACAAAACCAGAACTATTTTTCACAAATTTGTGCACGCACAACATCTATATTCAGCTTGCAAAGTGGCATGACAGCATCAAACTTCTAGCTTTTAGAAAATCCTCGAGTCAGAAAAAGTTCCCACCGTTAATCAGACCCAAAAGATCAGTGGAAGATCATGGGTTCTACAACCAGTTCAAGTAAAGGGGGAAGGAATGATAGAGATTTAAAAATAACAATTTTATTGAATAATCAATGAAAAAAGAAAAACGTGAATTAGGGGTAGTTCAAACTACAAAATCATCTTCTTTCCTCTTTTTCCCATTCCTTTTTCCCATCTGTTACTATGGATAGTGGTAAGTGAGTACTTCCGATATTCCATAAAAACAACTTTCATTCTCTACTATGAAGAAAGAAAAAGTCATATAAGATACTAGACATTAGAAATATTTATAAGAAGAGCATATTACTAACATAGTAATACACAGGTGTCCCATGCAGAAGAGGTTTCCTGGAAGAACAACAGCAGCCTCCCATTCCCCACAATTATCTCTGTCGTTAACCCCACGCAAATTGAGCTTGGTGCATTTTCCCTGTTATTTGACATCAGTGGATAAGTAGAAAATTATAGGTTCAAAGCAAGGGGTTAAAGAAGCCAACTTGAAAGATAGGACAAACCAGATAATGCACTAGTTCTGGAAGCATGAACAAGCCAAGAGCCTATATTGAATTACCATGGTCCATTTTCTTTTCGAAAAGAGCACAGTGGTAGAACATGTGATCAAACAAATACCATAACTGCTTCATATAAATAGAATGTGTAAAACTTCAGAGAATTGTAATTGGCATACAGCATCTTGGGTTAGCCGGAGTTGGCAGCTTAACGATAATAACTGTTGTATGCATTTCTAGATTACAGATTATATCAGAGTAGTATGCATTAACAGGCTATCTATGTATCGAGAAAGAAAACAAACAGCTAGGAAATGATGCCGCATATACAGAACATAAACCAAGAGGCTAAGTTATCCAATGTGTTATACAGTTTTACTGCCTTTGGAAGGAAATTTGCCAGTGAAATTTTAGCAATTCATGCCAAATCCATCAGCTTATAAGCTGGAAAACATAAAATTTAGCCTCTTAGTGCCAGATGCCCAGCTCGTCTAAAAATGGAACACAAAACAGACCCTTAAGAACTAAAATTGCAAACATCAATCACACACGCACATGAATTTGACGCCTTTGACATTTTATTATTATTATAATTTATAACAACCCAGACATGGTTATCTGAAGCTAAGTAGGACAACTTAAAGTTGAAAACCAAATCGCAGAAACAGTTCAGAATACCAAAATTCAGAAATTTAATCACTAATTGTGCAGACAAGCAACAGACAGCGAAATAACTACATAAAAAACAAAGAGACTGAAGTCATAAATTCCACAAAATCCTAAATTAAGAAGTCCAGAATAGGGAAAGGGGAAAGTGATATGTAACGGAGGGAAAACAAAAGAAGTAAATTACATTTAACGAATAATAAACGATTTCATCAGAGGAGAACGAAAAGTAGTAAAGATTTAACCTTTGGAAGCGGCGGCGGGATGAGAAGAGAGGCGTAGAATTCTAGCCAATAATCCTAACTCTTGTAGGCTTGAAATTTAGTTTCTTAAACAGTATATTAGTATTTATTTAAAATTTCTTTTAATTTATTTTTTATTAGTTTATGTAATTACAAAATAATATTTATTCACAGTCAATCTTAATCTTTATAATGTATACCCATCGATTTAAGTTTCAATTTGATATTGTGTTGTTAAAAAAGTAATGACATCTTTTTAGTATTTTATCTATGATGATATAGACATTAACTTATGATGACACGTCAAGATCACCGTTAAGTTTTTTTCGATGAGTGCTAAAATAGAACATAAACTAAACGTTAAGTACGATTTTGAAACAAAATAAAATTTAGGTACCAAAATAGAATAAAAAAATAATTTAGATACTAAACATGTAGTTTACCTAATATTTTATTGGCAATAAGTAGGGATAAATCGAATGAGAGTTGATAAATATAATCGTCCTCTGAAAATTTTAAATTCTCTATGTGTTCATCTATAAAATTATATAAATTCATCTATAACACAAAATCATATTTCCGCCCATGATATTGGTCTATTTATTGCATGTACTGTACAGAGATGCTGATTAGCAAGTTTACTTGAAAGTCAGGCAAGTTTCAACTAACTGGAGAACTTTGTCAATCTTCTCTCTAACTCTACCACAAATAATTTGTTTAAACCCTGCAAATCTTCATCCTAACCACAGAACATAATTGATTAGCTTATAATCCAAGGGGAAATGCCTTACTCCTGCTGGAATTGAGCTTTGCTGCTTCCAAGTCAGTTTGAATCCTTGGATTTTAACTTCTGACATAATTTTGCATGGAAATTGAAGTGGTGTATTTGACTCCTGGATATGCCAGTTCCATATACATGATTCGAGCATACAAGAGAATCTGTTGCTTTAATCTTTGAAAGAACATGCATCTTGATTTAAACCAGCCAGCCAACAGTTTAATGCTCAAGGGTTGGTTGAGAATGTTTGTTCTTGATGTTGATTTGTGCTGCCTTGTATTTGAAGACAATGCTAAGAGGAAGGTCTTCTATTAATGTCAGTGGTTGATCAAATAAGAAGTGAATGTCCATCTTGCAATTTAAATTTTCTTTAATAATTTTTTTATTGATTGTATATCACTCTAAAAATTTATTTGTATTTATATATATAAAAATTTTATGCTATTAATATATATTTTTTTACATCTTTAAAAATATTTTTTTTACGGGCACCTCCATTTTGTTTCCTACAAGTAGTAGTAGTTTTCAAGAATCCTACTGCTATTCTTGTAGTTTACTGGTTAAAGTCTTTTTTTAATACAATCAAGGTTTTTCATATTTGTTTCTACGGTCCAATTTTTTTATTCGGACATTTGACTTGATCAAATCTTATGTTATGTCAGAGACAGCCAAGTTTAAGTATTAAAAATAATATTTATATTATACGAATCAAGTTACTCCAATATTTAAAGGAGTTATTATTATTTATAAAAAGTTATGAGTTCAAACACCAACGACTGTAAGGGTGATTGAACGTTCATTGTCAAATGATTAATAGTACTTAAAACATATACTACTTTGTAATCAACAACTGTTAGGGTGATTGAATGTTCATATACTACTTTATAATCATTTTTAAATTAATAAAAATATGTTTTATATTATATTGATTTATGATGATGACATAATGATTCATTATGACTAATGATATAATAAGATGGGTTAAATTAATTTTTTAATCAAATTTGATGGTTAAATTAATTTTCTTAAAACTAAAGGATTTATTTAATTTTTTAGAAAAAAATATAAATTATTTAAAATTTCAAATATAAAAAATATATAAACAATAAAAAATTTAATAGCAACAATAGTTAGTTTAGCAAGATAAAACACTAGGAATAGGGATGGAAATGGGACCCGAACTCGATGGGTTCCGACCCGACCTAATCGAGTCGGGTTTTTTTAAATTCGGGTTTGGGTTGGGTTAAAGTTTAGGGTGAAAATACTTGATCCGACCCAAAAAAATATAATTTTATATTATATACTTATGAATAATTACAATAATATCCTTCTATATGTTATTTTTTTTTCAATTAAATCACTGTTTTTATTGAATAAAAATAATATTTTTTATTATTTCGGGTCGGGTCGGTTTTTAAGTTATGTATCGGGTCGGGTCGGGTGAAATATTATTTTAGTCAAGTCGGGTCGGGTCTCGGGTGGAGGATTCCTTAATCTCGGGTCTGGTGGATCAAAAATCCGACCCAACCCGATCTATGCCCATCCCTAACTAGGAACAACAATGATTTCTTAATCATTCTTAACTATATTTACAATTGTTAGTGCTCGAATCAATTACCTTTAAGAATAACAACTATTTTTGTTCATGAAAAAAAATATAAATTATAAAATGAAATTATAAATTATTAAAAAAATTAAACCTATGATATAGCATTAAACCTTAAATAATCAATGAATTGACTAATTCGTCTAATTTTATAATATTGATGTATGTATTACCCAAAGAGCAGGGCAAATACTTGATGTGGACATAATCCTCTCATATAAAAAGGAAAATAAAAGAAAAAGTCTGCTCTTCATATCTCCATCTCTTAACTACCCGCCATTTCTACGTGGTACATACAATCTTTCTCTACTTTCTTCCTCTCTTTTTTTCTTATCCCGTGATGACCAGCTCCAACAGCAGCTCAAGAAGCCGGAACCCTAGCTTCGGCGTAGGCTCAACTCCGGATCCATTTGCTTACTCTGCAACCTCTACTTACTCTGAATCATCTGTCTCCCGCAAATCCGGTTCAGCCCGAAATCCGATCAAGGTTGTCGTCCGGTACATCGTCGGTGCCTTTGTCGCGTGTTTTACGCCTCCGGATTCAGAAGGATACAAGAAATTTGGGGTTTCAGATGAGTTTAGAGCTCCTTCCGGTATGCTCTGTTTCTCTCCAGTATAAATTTTAAACGCCGATGAGTCACAAAGACAACTTTTTTTCCTTAAATATGGTTTTAGTAAACAGTTCTCGTATGAACGTATTCGTGACTATGAGGAAACGGCAAAAATGAAGTTTTTAGTTGTTATTTGAAAACAGAGGAGAAATCTCTACATTTTTCTTTTATAATACGGATGTTGTATTTTTTATTTTTAACTTTTACTGGTTCTTTTTCTATTTTGACATTTTCTCGGCAACCAAACAACCTGCCGGCTCCGCGACTAGTTTTTTATTTGAGTTTTGGATAGAAAAAGGAAAACCCAGAATTTTTCATTGATCGAGTTTTATACAAAGAATTTATAGTTAACATTGAATTACTGATCGGCTTTTGTACTGATCATACAGATCTGGATCTGACATTGTTAATCAACTCTCCAATAATGTACTAATTGAAACTATCTTATAAATTTCAATTGTTAAACTTGCAGTTGCACCGAAAATGCCAAGAACGAACGGCGAGAGGAGGGGCTCGAATCGAGCTATTTATTCGAATTCAACAAGGGAGAAAGTGCCTGGGAGCATGAAATTCACGATGGAGGAAATTTTGAAGGCCACGAGGAACTTCTCCCCTGCATTCAGGATTGGACAAGGTGGATTTGGGACGGTTTATAAGGGAAGGCTTGATGATGGAACTTTTGTAGCTATTAAACGTGCTAAAAAGGTTTGTCTGAAAGCTAATTTGAAGTTTGAATAGTTCTTCTTGTCCCTTTTTTTTTGGTGGATTATTGAGAAATTGATGAACTTTTTTGTTGTTTGTAGAGTGTATGTGATAAGCATTTAGGTGTGGAATTCCAAAGCGAAATAACAACACTGGCACAAGTGGAACATTTGCATTTGGTCAAGTATTATGGGTATTTAGAGCATGGGGATGAAAGGATTGTTGTTGTGGAATACGTGCCTAATGGAACCCTTAGGGAACACTTGGATGGTGAGTTCTTGTGATTATACTCTGTTGTACTTCCTCTAGAGCTCCCCACACATCACATCTTTGTTGTCATTTCTTTGTTTATCGAATTTTTAAGGCCTCTAAAGTTTCTTATTCTCTAGTTAATTTCAGTATCTAGACGTAACCGCTGTTAATTTCATCACCGACTAAATCTATTATATGACAATCATATCTATTTGTTTTGCCAATATGAAAATAGTCATCATTACCCAACGAATACCACTAACAAGTCTATAAGTAAATCACCATGCAATGCTGGATAGAAGAATCTTCTTCTTCTCTCTTGGAACTTCTCTTCTTCCCCGACTTTTTGACTATTCATCATCTCTTTCACCCCACTAAATCATGGTCTGACTCTTTTTCCAAACTAAAAGCGACACCACAAACCACCACAATCTCATTTCTCCCATCAATGTACTCCACCCTTCAAATCTTTAGTTTGCTTGTGTGAATGCCTTGGTAGGCTACTTTGCTAGCATACCTTGGCCTTTTTTATTTCATCCTCTTTATGCTGCAATTTTGAGAGTTGAAAGATGAGAAAATTTTCTTGCAGGTGTGCATGGAAAAGTTCTTGAGCTTGTTGCACGGCTTGATATAGCTATTGATGTGGCCCATGCAATCACCTATCTTCATATGTATACAGGTTTCCTTTAAAGATAGCATTTTTAAACAAGGACTTTGCTGTTGTTGGAGAAATATGAATGGAGAGATTAACAAGATTATGCATTGAATTCTTGTAGATCACCCAATCATCCACAGGGACATAAAGTCTTCCAACATTCTCCTTACCGAAAAGCTTCGAGCCAAAGTTACCGACTTCGGTTTCGCTAGGTTGGCTGCTGACATAGATTCTGGTGCAACCCATGTGTCTACACAAGTTAAAGGAACCGCCGGCTACCTCGATCCGGAGTATCTAAGAACCTATCAACTAACAGAAAAGAGTGATGTTTATTCATTTGGTGTATTATTGGTTGAACTAGTCACAGGCAGGCGACCTATTGAACCGAAACGAGAACTCAGGGAGCGGATAACAACAAAATGGGTGTGATTTTCATTCCATTCTCCCATAGTTCATCCGCTTGCAAGTGTGTTGATATGTTTATGTAATTGCAGGCGATGGAGATGTTTAACGACGGTGCTGCCATTTCAGCTTTGGATGCAAGGCTAAAACTGACCATGGGGACTAACTTAGCCATCGAAAAGATTCTTGAGTTAGCCTTACAATGCCTGGCTCCTTGTCGACACAACCGGCCTGGTATGAGGAAGTGTGGGGAGATCCTATGGAGCATCCGAAAGGATTATAGAGAACTATCGGCCATGGACCTTCGTTCTTATTCATCTAATTTCCAATGAAGTGGTTCAGTTAGAGAAATGTAAACAAAAGGCTCACTAAGTTACAAATAACAAAGTGTTGTTGAATCTAAACCAGCATACAAATGTACAGAGAAATCAGTACAGCGCCCTGCCTTAAGGATCAATTTAGAATCCGTCATCAACAGAGGCAAGATTATGCAGGAAATGTACTCGTCTGGTTTGGATTATGTGTATTGAAAGTTTAATTTGTTGATTAATTAAAAGTTGTTTTGTCTCTGTTCGGAGGGTTTTTTAGCCAAAATAATTCACGGGGATAAAAAATTGTATTAATATACTGGAAGTCAAACTCTATATCTCGGCAAGATAATTTCTAATAAAAATTATTATTTAATAGACTATAAAAATTTCAAATTATTGAATTCACGAAATTTGTTTTATTATTTAAATTTTATTTAAAAATTTTAAATTATTTGAGTTGATATATTTTAGTTTATCTTTCAAATTTCATTTAAATATTTTTTGATTCGATCAAATATATTTATTTGAATTATATTAACAAAATAAAATAGTTCAATTTAAAACTTTTTATGGACATTTTAAATAAATTTCAAACAAAATCTATAATTTGAAATCATATGTATAAAAATTCCTTTCCGATAAAAACAAGAAAAAATAATATTTAATATTATAAAATAATTTACTTGTTTAATGTTTAAACTTAACATAACTTCAATTAACTTAAGAATTAATTGTTATATACAGTGGCGGATCCACTATTTATTTAGGGTGGGTATTGAAATCTTAATTTTTCAATTTTTTGTTTATTTTATTGATTGTGTACATCCTACAATTTTATTTATGCCACATATAAAAAATTATGATGTTAATATATACGTGCTCACTCTAAATTTTTTTTAGATTCATCACTTGTTATATAACTTAATCTTTTTTGAGAATATTTTAAAATTTTAATGATTTTTTATGAGAGAGTTATATACAATTTTATTTTTGCCTCATATAAAAAATTATGTTGTTAATATATACGTGCGCACTCTAAATTTTTTTTAGATTCATCACTTGTTATATAACTTAATCTTTTTTGAGAATCTTTTAAAATTTTAATAATTTTTATGAGAGTTATATATATATATATATATATATATATATTAAAATGAAATAGTTGAATACAAAATTTTATTGACAATTTAAATAATTTTCAAATAAAATCTCATAAATTAGAAATCATATGTATAGAAATTTCTTTCCGAGAAAAAACAAGAAAAAAAAATAAAATTTAATATTATAAAATAATTTACTTGTTTAATGTTTAAACTTAACTTCAATTAACGTAAGAATCAATTGTTATATACGGTGGCAGATTCATTATTTGTTTAGAGTGAACATTGAATTCTTAATTTTCTTCGATTATTTGTTTATTTTATTGATTGAGCACATCATAAAATTTTATTTATGCCAAATTTAAAAATTTGTATTGTTAATATATATATTCACGCACTTAAAAAAATATTCATAAATCCGTCGTCACTGGTTATATAACTTAATTTGTTTTGAGAATCTTCCAAAATTTTAATTAATTTTTATGAGAGTTGTATATATATATATATTATAGAATTTACTTAATTTATTACTTACAAACTCGTGTTTGTCATGGAAGAGCATCCGTTTTACTTTTTTTTAAAGTTGTATTTGCCTTGAAAAAGCATGAAAACCCTATAACAAAAAGGTGCAAAGCATAACCACCAAAACAAAACAAAGACCAATTTTGTCTGTTAAAAAACTTGCTAGAATGGCCAAAAGCTGCCCGGTTGGTGTAGTACTGTATCAGGAACCCCCACCTGAGGTAGTTGCTTTGATTGAGCGTGATCAAGCTTACATGTCCGACAATTTCTTTAATACTGATATTTTTCAATTTGCAAAACAGAACTTAAAAATAATTTGAATGTCCTCTAAATTTTATAATTCATTCATACTGATTAATTAAATTTTAATTCATAGAGAACGTATTTATTTTTTTGTAACTGATTCTACAAGTTGATCTGCAACTTGTTTGCTTGATTTACAACAGTCACTGTTATTTCTCATTAAACAAATCCGCATGGGGCACATGTCCCAAAGACTGATCCTTTAAGTCAATAAAAATATCATCAATCAATCCATTTCCCATCCACAGTGAAACCTATGGCTAATGTTACTGCTCTCTGTTCTTACAAACTCATATGCTATTGCCTCTTCTTTAGCTTGGCGGTATTAACTCAGTCAGCTCCCGAGGATGCTTTGATCACCCAACTTCCGGGCTATTCTGGCACTTTCCCTTCAAAGCACTATTCTGGGTATTCCCTGTTTCAACTTTTTGTTGGAAAATTTTCCTTTTTTCTTCTTGTTTCCCATATTCCGGGTATCATAATAGTTGTTGGTCAAACCCTTTTTTTTCCTGCTTGAAGGTATGTGAATATCGATAAAAATCATGGCAAGAATCTGTTTTACTATTTTGTGGAATCTGAAGGGAATCCATCAGAGGATCCAGTGGTTCTATGGCTCAATGGTGGACCTGGATGCTCAAGCTTTGATGGTTTTGTTTACTAGCATGGTATATCCTATACACCACTTCACATGACATCTTTCATTGTTTTTGTTAAAGCAATCTGTTTATTTGGGTGTTTTTAGACTTTGGTATTGTTTAATAACTGTGAGATTGACTTGGTGTTTATCTAGATGCATCAGGGAAACCCCCTCATATTAACTCAGTTGCTCTGTTTGTTCCTTGATGAAAATTAATGTGGGTCTATTTTGTGGCCGCTTGCATAATTTAGTGAGGTTTCAATGTTTCATGTCCTCTTTTTCACTGTATTGGTTTAGAAGAAGATCAATTAATGTTTCAGATGAAGAAAAGAAAGCATGAATTTTCTTCAGATCGCTTTTAGTTTTCTTCTGTTACACTCCATTCCAGATGACAAAGATGAATGTTGAGATGATTGCCTGCGGTGCCTTATTCTTCTTAGATGGAGGGTATTGAGACATTGTATCACTTTTATAGCACTTGATTTTTTATTATTCATTCCAGGGCCATTCAATTTCGATGCAGCAAAGGCGAAGGAAGGTTTGCCCCAAATGCATCTCAATCCATTTAGTTGGTCCAAGGTTGTTATTTCTTAGTTACTTTGGCTTGATCGGAGATAATGGAAATGCTTGATTTGTTTATATTGATTTCCTCTATTCTGGTAAAAGTATCATAGTACACTTGTTTACTTATTTATTATTTCAGGTCTCCAACATTATTTATTTAGATTCTCCGGTTGGGGTTGGGCTTTCTTATTCGAAGAACCGAAGTGATTACGTGATTGGTGACATTCAGACTGCCCTCGACACACATGCATTTCTTCTCAAGGTGAGAGGCAATACAATTTTGTCGTATGCTTACTAACTGCTGCCTGAGTTCTTTATTGCTGAATACTTAGCTGTGTGTAACAGTGGTTTGAGTTATACTCCGAGTTCCTCCCAAACCCACTTTATATTGCTGGAGAGTCATACGCCGGTGTATACGTGCCCACTCTTTCTTATGAAGTAGTGAAAGGTATATCCATAGTTTAGACTTAAAAGTTTTAGGATAAATCTAAAAGAATGATATGAATCTTTCACAGGAATTGATGCTGATACTCAGCCTGTTCTCAATTTCAAGGTGCAACTATTTCCGGAAACTATTTTGGTTAAAGTTTAAACACATACTTGCCTTCTAGCCACAATCTTAAGTTGTAAAATGCAGGGATATTTGGTCGGAAATGGAGTCACAGACGATGAATTTGACGGCAATGCTCTTGTTCCATTTGCCCATGGTTTGGGCCTGATATCAGATGACCTATATGAGGTATGTTACAGACCCGGAAATGATATATCATATTGTAGCGCTACCTTTTGCCTGCACAACACTAGAGTGAAAACAGGCCATATGTTTGTTTGTTTTCTCCTGAAAACGTGTAGTTCTGATAGTCGAATCTACATTGTGCAGGAGGTTAAAACTGAGTGCAAGGGCAATTTCTATATCCCACAGAGTGATATTTGTGAAAGCAAACTGGACAAAGTTGATGCGGTACTTGACTAATTTGCTTATTTTACGATGATATCAAGGGGAAGTTTGGATAATTTGAACTAGCATTCTCTTTGATTTGCTTCTGAATTTTAACAAATTGCAGAACTTACAATATTTGAACATCTACAACATTCTAGAACCGTGTTATCATGGCCCAAATGCAGCTGAGAATACCGATATTAAGATTAGACTACCTTCAAGCTTCGAGAAGTTAGGTGAGACCGACAGGCCCCTTAGTGTACGGAAAAGGATGTTTGGTCGTGCCTGGCCTCTTAGAGCTCCTGTAAGAGATGGGATTGTTCCAACATGGCCGCAACTTCTCAATACCCAAAGTGTTCCATGCACTGTGAGTTTAACTTACTTTTGACAATTATAAGTCATTCAAACATTTCATTTCTTTAAACACGTTAATGTGCTATTGTGTTGTTTGTATGCACTGCAATGGATATTGGTAGATTAGAATAGGTCTTGACTTGCAACTCTCGTGCTTATAAATGTAGTTCAACTCTTGTATGATTTGAACAAATGACTTGCACCATTCCACTTATCATTGGAAGGGCATAGCTTCTCTTTGCTCAAAAATAAAGATGGATAGCTTACATCATGAATGTTTGTTTAACAGATTAACTACTAGTCTCATTCGAATTTGATTGAAAATGAAAATTGGTCATACTCTCTCTTCAAGCTTGACCAATTACCAATTAATATAAGAAAAGAAAATTCAAATTTGCTTAGGTAGATAAAATGATTTTTTTAACACTTTTTACTTTGATGAAGGTTGATAGACTTCATTTGTTTTTTTGTCAATTTCTTTCCTTGGTGGTTATTGTTAGTTTTTTATTCATCTCACTTCATTGTATCGAGAGTATCAACAAGTCACCTACTCAAAATTTCATATGAATTGTGTAGAACGATGAAGTAGCAACGGCATGGCTGAATGATGCATCTGTTAGGAAAGCAATTCACGCTGAAGAGGTAAGCCCTCTGAGTTATTTATCTCTCCAAGTTTGCAAGATTGTAATTTTACGATCATTCGACTTCATAGGATTCCGTGATCGGAAAATGGGAGTTATGTACGGACAGAATCTACTACAATCATGATGCTGGTAGTATGATCCCATATCACAAGAATCTTACTTCCAGGGGATATCAGGCACTCATATTCAGGTAAGTCTCCAATTAATTTCATAAAACACTCTAGTTACCTTCAGAAAATTTATGTTTACACGGTTTACCTTTTCTTTCTTGCCTCATTAAAATTACAACAAACGTCTTTTCGGGGTAATGTAATCCGAGAGAAAATGCTTAAGTGATCGATGGCTCGTAATGCAAAATGCTGCTGCCACACATAAACCAAAACTCTACATATAGAATCTGAGCCATGAATCACGAAACGGGCTTCAAGCTTGCAACTGTGATCTCTAGTGTCATAAATTGTTAGGTTTCAATATATTCCCTTGGTGGTTGGTTATAGTATGTTTCTCTTTGCTCAACCCCCCTAGAATTGCATTTATTTGAAGCTGCATTGGTTGATTGAATTCCGTAAACTTCCGTTTCAGCTATTTACTTGATCTATATATTCTCTGATAAGTGGTCCACGTTTTACTTCTCTGGCAGCGGGGATCATGATTTGTGTGTTCCGTATACCGGGAGCGAAGCCTGGACAAGATCGCTCGGATATAAGATAGTGGATGAATGGAGGCCATGGATGGTCAATGGAGATGTTGCCGGGTATGTTTTGTCCCTATTTTGCCTTATCTTATTATATACTTTGCCAAACTAATGGCCTTGTTGATGTTCTCCACGGATTTGAGATCATTTTGGTTTTTGAATTCATCCACTCTTAAATGGGTGGCATCTAAGGGAAAGGAAACATTTCGATTATATTCCTTTTGAACTGAGTTCCTAAATATTTTTGGAATGCTTTTGCAGGTATTTACAAGGTTACGAGAACAACCTGACCTTTTTAACCATAAAGGTACAACATTGCAGACATTTCTTTTGCCAATATTATTATCAAGAGATTGACCAAATTCCAGTTAAGATTTTAATTATATCGGTTGGAGATTACTCGGTTATCAAATATATTTAGTGTAGCAGATATTAATTGATGGTAGAAAATCTTAAAATCTTAACAAAGAAGATTTCTTATTATCTTTGTAATCAAGTAACAGATTTCTTATTAATAAAGAAGATCTTTTCACCTGCAAATTCCAAACAATTAGCTATAGAAACTGTTAAAACTTTCAGGTTATCAGTTTTGTATCGATCTAACGACTCATTGTTTATGTTTGTGGTTCAGGGATCAGGGCATACCGTGCCGGAATATAAACCTCAAGAGGCATTGGGATTTTATAGGAAATTCCTGGCAGGAAAACCTATATGGAGCAAATATTCATGAGCTGCTTCTTTTTATTTAAGTCGTGGATCATAATTGAAGGCTAATGGCTAAGCGGAGGAGCAGAAGAATAAATTAGCCAAGGAGAGTGCAAACTCCTTGATTCACCTCATTGTGTTATACCGTCATGTCTTGAGCAATATATATATATATATATATATACTTTTTAATTTTCGTAGGTTTAATTCAGTTAAAACTAAAATTAAATATCATATTTAAATTTAAGTATAAATTGTATAATTATTAATAAAATTTAATTTTAATATTTTATCACGTATGAACAATAATATTGAACAGTCGAACAATATCAAGTAGAATTCAATAATTTATATATATTGGAATTGGAGCCGGTTCATGGATAGGTCGAATGACAATTACTACTTGCGTGGTGACATTTTATGGATTAATTATAATATTAATATATTTAAAGTCATTATTATTATTATTATTATTATTTTGGATAATGTTAATACGTAAGAGACCGATCAAAAGATTTATTATGTTAATAAAAATAATATATCCTATAAAATATGTTTTTTAAAAATTATTTTTTACAGAATAAATATATTCAGGCAATTGATTAAATTATTTATTTTTATTCTCTCATATTCCTTTAAGTTGTAAGTTTTATTTAGAATTTATAAAAAAATATGCTCACATAACATAATTTTATATGAAAATTTTCATTTTGATAAAAAAAATATTTTGGACATTATTCCCATAATGTTCCCTAAAATATGAGTACTAAAACAATAAATAATTTAAAAAATACAGTATATTCGGGTAAAAAAAACCAATACTAACCGTATGGTAGGCATTTTAGTAAATAAAGGAAACAGCTAGGGCATTTCCCACAATGCTTAAACCCCTATCATCGAAACTCCACATATAATCCGCTTACTGGATAAACCTAACCCAAAAAAGCAATCCAAACTTGTGTTTTTATGGCGTGTCCTTCGCTTTTACAATCCACAGCATCGTCGTTCCACGGCCTTGCACCGCCATTGTCCGTGCGCCTGCCGTACGGTAACCCCAGAAATAGATACGGCGGCGTCGTTTCGGTGAGGGCAACGGGAGAGATTGTGTTGGTGGAGAAATCCGAAGCCGAAAAACCGTATCGTCTAAAATCTAATTACCTAGAGAAAATTGTCCCTTTGCTTAAAGAAGAATTCACCTACACCAACATTCACCAGGTAAATGAATAAATGTATTTAATTCTTCTTTTTACTCCTTTTTTTGGGTTCGATTTTGGGTTTGTATGTAATGAGATTTTGGAATGGTGGACTGTGGGTTAGGTTCCAAAGGTTGAAAAAATAGTGGTGAATTGTGGGATTGGAGATGCTGCCCAGAATAAGAAAGGTTTGGATTCGGCTATGAATGAGATGGCCCTGATAACGGGGCAAAGACCTGTTAAGACGCGAGCCAGGAATTCTATTGCTACTTTCAAGATACGGGAAGGTCAGCCACTTGGAATTGCCGTTACACTCAGAGGAAATGTAAGCTTGCTTTATGCTCATTTTTTTTAATTACATGAATTTATGTATCCTTTGGACTGTTTTTTCATGAATAATTTAGTTCGTCTTGAAGATTGTGTTGCTCGTGAATTAATATCCATACCGTTGCTGCGGTTGTTCTGGTAGATTTTAAGAAAAAAGCATTAGTAGTTAGCAATTGTTGCTTGCTTGGGCTAATGTCGGCTGTGCAGAATATATCAGGGAAGAGCAACTTGCACTTTGACAGTCAATGAAAGATTTTTATGTTACATTTGCTCAAATTTTCTTAGGAACACTGGTACCGAATGGCTTGGAAAATGTAGTGATTTTTAAGACCATAAATTATGGACATTCTCCCGACTGTGATCGTTCACATTCGACTTGAGCAATTCGTCATTGGATGGAAAGATAGAAAGATCTTTAACTATGCTTTTGTTCCTTGAATCAACCTACCTGTATATGTGGTTTGAAGGCTTTGTTTCAGTTATATATTTTGTTCTTTTCTGCATTGCAATTTTCCATCTTGTTATCACAATTATATTTAGTTTTTGACATATTTGAATACTGAAAACTGTTTCATGTATGGTTGGTGATGAATTTGACAGGTTATGTACTCATTCCTAGACCGGCTCATTAACTTGGGGCTTCCTAGGACTAGGGATTTCCAAGGTTTAAACCCTAATAGCTTTGATGGGCATGGAAACTACAGTATTGGAATTCGTGAACAGAGTGTGTTCCCTGAGATCAGGTTTGATGCACTTGATAAACCCAGAGGAATGGACATTTGCATCACCACAACGGCCAAGTCTGATAAGGAAGGCCTGAAGCTATTGGCCCTAATGGGTATGCCTTTTAGAGAAGGTGGTGGCACCGGCGCTGCTGCTGCTGCAGCTCAACAACGCAAGAAGAAGCTCAGGTCTCACCACTTTGATAAGAAGGGTGGCAAGGGCACACGGAAATGAGAGCTTTCTCCTGCTAAAGGGCAAAAGGAACTTTGAACCATTTTGTTATTAATTGCATGGCATCATTTTATGAAGAAATGTCCTAAAGAATGATGTTAAATTCAGGTGATTTGGTTGTATTACATTATTGCCAGCTGGGGATATGATTCTGTGGTCTTAATCTCTTAATGCAATGTAAAAGGGTTTATTCTCAATTTTTAGCCTTGTTTCTTTGTATTTCTGTTGTGTTCATATTATTTCATTTATAAATCTTCATGACCTAAGCCAAAATATGGACCAAGAGCCCAAGCCCTGGATCCATTGCTTAACGATATTGATTCTGATTTTTCATTTTCTGGAATTGGGACAAAAGAAAAGAATTTATTTTTGTGTGGCCGTGGTTCACTGAGGACGAAGATATTTAAAAGAAACCGTGGGAGGACCAATGGCGCTCTTTCAACTCTAAAATGGCGGCAAATCTTTCCTTCGCTTCCGCCGTTTCCCACGTCAACTCACCGCGTCAGTTCATCGTTTTCCGGCGAAACGCCAGCCCAAGCCGCAACATATATAGAATTAGATGCAACGGAGAAAATTCCAAGAGCAATTTACCCACCACTCAAGAATCTGCACGCGAGAATGTTCTTCTCAAGGTAGCCTGGTATGGTTCCGAGCTTCTGGGGATTGCTGCTTCTTATCTCCGACCACCCTCTAAGGTTGAAGAATCTACCCAGAAAAATCTTGAGCTTGGCCTAGTTGGGGCGGGAGCTATTGATCGTACTGCAGTCGTTCAAACCATCAAAGATGACTTCGAAAGATCGTATTTTGTCACAGGTACATGAAAATCAAAGCTCAGTAAATCCACTCGAAATCTTTCTTCTCCTCCTCTCTCTCTTTTTATTTACCTGAACATAGAAGTTGGTCTGTACAATTTAGAGTTATAATATATTTTCTGTTGAAATCAGGGCAACTTACACTCGATGCATACGAAGAGGATTGCGAATTCGCCGATCCAGCAGGTTCCTTCAAGGGACTTAGACGTTTCAAAAGGAATTGCACAAACTTTGGATCTCTTATTGAAAAGTCAAATATGAAACTAATGAAGTGGGAGGACTTTGAGGTCAGTGTTCCAAGTTATAATCAAGGAATTCCCGTTATATTATATTGGCACAACTTGCTTCATTACTTGTTACCATCTTCAATGTGATATACCAATGAACAACTTTTCTTTATGTTATCGTTCATGGAAGTGCAGAACAAAGGAGTGGGACACTGGAAATTTAGTTGTGTAATGTCATTTCCTTGGAAGCCTATTCTTTCTGGTATGTAATTGGTACTTTGGTCACATTTTTTATTTTCCCAGCATCAGTTTACATTTTTGTAAAAGGTCAATGACCCTGAAGACATTGCATCGATATGAATCCACGAGCGTGCTTAATGTTTTGATATTTTGCTTGCAGCTACTGGATACACAGAGTATTTTTTTGATGCACAATCTGGAAAAGTTTGCAGGTAACAAGTAATGCGGAGAAATGAAGGAGCTCTTCTGTTTATGTTCTCTGATTACCTAACTATTCTTAATGGTATCTTTGCAGGCATGTGGAGCACTGGAATGTTCCCAAAATGGCGCTGTTGAAGCAACTTCTGAGACCGACTCGAGGATTCTGGCTTAAGAGAAAAGACAGCTAAAGATTGTGTAAGAGAACCTCTTAGCTTACCCTCCTTACAAATCCAAACACTAGGTTGTTGCCATAATCATGCCAGTTCGCCTCTTTTCTACGTACAAGGACAAGGAAGATAGGATTGTTAGATAGTATCGTTATGCATGTCGATTGTAGCTGATCTGATAATGTAAGTTACCCATGAAAGAAAAGAAAAGAAAAAAAAAACTGGATAATTTACCCATAAGATAGCCTGAGGCTAAACCATAATGAAGAAACTGATTCTTCTCTTGGAACAATTGGAACTGAATTTCTTCCTACACCAGGTACATTGATGTATGTATATGTGTGTGTATATGCAAATGATACTATATGTGTTTCCATACATGGAAGCTGTTTATGTAAGCGCTTCTCTTCTATATTCTTTTTACTACTGTCTATTGCCATAGCTTTACTAAGATGCAGACTATTGAATTAGAGTTTTTCATGCCTTTGGTTTTTTCTCAGGAAGAAAAACATGTTGATCACATCCTCTGTTGTCGAAAGACTGGCCTTGAGAAACCGATGGAAGATGACCGGAAGGGGAAGACTGATATGAAGGGCAACCATCTAATCTAAAATGGGTTTGAATTAGTACAATTCGTTTCTTGATCGGTGTCGAGTAGAGTTGCATCATCTATCATGTTGCACTAGTTCAGGAACTAACAATGCATAGTTAATGTTTCCAGAGTTGTACAAATAGCCTTAGCCTATGCCACCAAAACTAAAGTAGACAGATCATTTTGTAACTATCCAACATAATGTAATATTTGATCGTCTACTCGGTCCTTAAGAGGCCCTCGCTTACTACTATTTTCAATCAATATATTTCAGCTTTTCCCACCAACTTGCCTTTACTTTTTATAACCAAATTGTGGTGAACATGACACATTAATAAAGGTTTATGAATTTGCTATATATATAATAAATTATGATCTATTTACCTCCGGGTGTAAAATTTTTAATTTTTACTTTTTAAATTTGTTAGATGAGTAGGAACAAACGTTAGAGATTACCTTTTTAATTGTCTATTTTTAATTTTATACGGTGTGAATAAATTTTACCCTCTTTCTCTATATATTATATATAAGACGTGTTCAGTTGAACTCATATTTTAGAAGACGCATCTGAAAAAAAATACATCTTTACTATATGTGAAATAAATATTTAAATAATCTTGAAAATTGTGATGTTTGAATAAAAAAAGCCTAGACTTTATTTATTATTATTGCTAAGAATTTTTAACGAAATTACATTATTTTCTCACAGAAGAAATATAAAAATGGATGGTACATATATGCACTATTCTTCCATAAAATATAATATGTAAAATTAAAATAAATTAATTGAATAATTCCATAAGAACAGTGACTATACCTGTGAATGTGGTGTCACCACTGAAAACGTTGACTCATCAGCCACGTGAAGCTCTGATGTGGGGCTTCCATACGCAATCTGATTCGTCCTGTCTGATCTTGACCGTCCGAAACTTCCAAAGACCTTAACCAAGCAACACGTGTCCTTAACGGTCATCGCCGTCTCAAATCCAGACCCTGTCCAAAATTGAACAAGAGGGAAAAAGAAAAGGAGAATCTCGTCATTTCGCGCATTTCACAAATCTCCAACTCCAGCTAGACAATAGCATTTTTTCTAATTTCCATTTTTGTTTTGTTCGTTTCCATTTATTTAAGAAAGGGTTTTTTCTTTTGATCAGAGAAGATAGTTAAAAAAAGGATAAGAAATGTGGTAGTGGAGGAGATCGGAAATCTCTTTATGTCTCCATTTTGCTTTTTATTATATTCCGTTTGATTCTTTCCCCTCTTCCCGATTTTTAATTTTGATGAAAACGTCGTTTTTCCGGCGAGTTTAGTGCTGCCGGAGTTTTGAACCATTTGAAGAAAATCTCAAAAAAGGGGAAAGGGAAATGTCACTGTACGACGACGCATTTGTTAACACGGAGCTGTCAAAGCGGACGTCGATTTTCGGGTTAAGATTATGGGTGGTGATCGGTATTCTACTTGGTTCACTCGTAGTCTTGACTCTCTTTCTTCTCTCACTTTGCCTCACAACGCGCCGCAAATCTCGCAGACATCAGCACCTGGACCCAACGCCGCCAATCTCCAAAGACATCCAGGAAATACTCCATCACCCTCCCGCACCAGTTCAACACCATATCCCCCCTCCGGTGCCGGAGATTCAAGTTGATTTGGGGAAAGTCGAACACAGGGTGGTGTTCTCCAGTGGAGAAAGTAGGGGGGTGACGAGCGCGGGCGCTAGTGTGTGCGAGACGGCGTCGTTTGGAAGCGGAAGTGTGGGGCCGGAAGTGTCTCATCTTGGCTGGGGAAGATGGTATACTTTGAGGGAACTGGAATTAGCTACGAATGGATTATGTGAAGAGAATGTGATCGGTGAAGGCGGCTATGGAATTGTTTACAGTGGCGTTTTAACTGATGGAACTAAAGTTGCTGTTAAGAATTTGCTTAATAACAGGTATCCGTGTTTAAATTTTTATTAATTATGCTTCTTTTTGGTTAATAATTATGCCCATTTCTTGAAATGAATATTCTTTTGTGGATTATGCATCTTTGATTTTTGTTGGTTTTTTTTTTTCACTATAGCAATTATTTTGAACTTCAATTTGATTGCCAAGGAAAAAAACATGATTTTCCCCTATAATGGAATTGATGAATTCAAGCGACAGTGAACAGTATGCTGCCTCATTATTTATTTCCTTTTTGGTTTAAAATTCTTGCCTTTGGTTGGTTAGACATTGTGCTGTAAAGTGTAAAGATTACTGCTTTGTGAGGAAAAGATCTCATTATTAGGCCTGGATGATAATTTTCTTTTTTCCTTTGGTTAGACTTTGGTCGAATCTTTTTTTGTCTTCTTTATTCCTTCTTCAATCATAGGTTTATGTGTGGTTTACCTACCAATTAGCTCATCAAAATAATCAATCAATCAATCCTACAGGGGTCAAGCCGAGAAGGAATTTAAGGTCGAGGTGGAAGCAATTGGGCGTGTACGACACAAGAATCTTGTACGATTGCTTGGATACTGCGTTGAAGGTGCCTATAGGTACTGCAATTATCTTCGAGCACAAAATTCTACTCTGTTTTGGATGATGTAAAGTGAAATGACTTTTTATCTGGTTTTTCTGTTCAGGATGCTTGTATACGAGTATGTTGACAATGGCAATTTGGAACAGTGGCTTCACGGGGATGTGGGGGATGTCAGTCCTTTTACGTGGGAGATTCGGATGAATATCATATTGGGAACAGCCAAAGGGTATACATTAGTTAGAATTGTGTTATTTGGTTCATGTACAGTTGTATAAAAATTCTTTATTCACCCGTAATGGTTATCATCCTGAGTGATTATCGGTACATTCTTGCAGTTTAGCCTACCTTCATGAGGGTCTTGAACCAAAGGTTGTCCATCGGGATGTAAAATCCAGCAACATCCTAATTGACCGCCAGTGGAACTCCAAGGTTTCTGATTTCGGGCTTGCTAAACTCTTGGGTTCAGAAATGAGTTATGTGACAACTCGAGTCATGGGAACATTTGGGTTAGTTGGTCTTGCACGATTTTGTCACTTTTTTAAAAAAAAAAAAAAAAGATGGATCCTATAAATGCATGTATGTGCATTAACTGAAATGCTGTGTAGTTCATTATTCTGAAGTAGTAAAATCTCTTTGCTTCTTATCCCAGGTATGTTGCTCCAGAATATGCTTGTACGGGAATGCTGAATGAGAAGAGTGATGTGTATAGCTTTGGTATACTTATTATGGAGATTATTTCTGGGAGAAGTCCAGTTGACTATAGCCGTCCTCAAGGAGAGGTTAGACTTTTTAAATTTCCTTCCTCATTAGTTTAACCCCAAATTCCTAATGTTGCTAAGATGAAACCGACTGAATGATTGCAGGTGAATTTGGTGGAGTGGTTAAAAACCATGGTTGGAAACCGAAAATCAGAGGAAGTAGTTGACCCTAAGTTACCTGAGATGCCTTCCTCAAAAGCACTTAAACGTGTACTGTTGGTTGCTCTTCGATGTGTCGATCCTGACGCAACAAAGAGGCCAAAAATGGGACATGTTATCCACATGCTTGAGGCTGATGATCTGCTATTCCGTGACGTAGGCACCTTTTCCTTACTTTAAACATTATTTTCTTTTTGAACTATCTATTAACCTTTATCTTGTTTTTCAGGACCGTCGGATTGCAAGAGATCAGCCTAATTCACTTTCTGGTGATCATCGAACGAACCGCAACGCTACAAAATTAGCCGATAGTCAATTCGACGGGGCCTCTGCTTCCGATACAAGTGATAGTGGAACGAACCATCACCAGCCTACCAAGTGGAGATAACGTTATCAACGTTAGGTGACTAACAAGCCCCTCTTTTAAGTTTTTTATTTATTAATTTATTTATTTTTCTAGTAGCCCCCCGGTATTGGTGTTGTATCTCCAAATAAGAGAACACAATAATATGCATTTTTTTTCTATGTTTGCTTTACATTTTCCTCATATGTAATATACATTATGCATTTGTATGAACATGGATGAATTCATGAATTCTTATACACAGTAATTGATTGTCTTCATGCTTCTTGCAATGCCTGATTTTCCAACTCTCAGCATCATCATTGTTAGTGGACCATTTTATTCCAACTGGTATATAGATTAAACGAGTGCGAAATGGACCCGGCAAGGGGGTAACTATCCTCGTTGCTGACAAGATTGGCTATGCCGGCTTGTTTGCTTGGGTGAATTTCACCATCAATGCCAGAACATGGTTTAGGCCATGGGAGCCTAATAAGGACATTTGGCATGATGGAGTTGAGCTGGTAGTGGTGGACCTGAATGGACCATTTTGTTTGCTGCCCTCTGGCATTTTAACTTCTATCCGATATCGAGATATCGGACTCGAACAATCTCTCGGGACTCGGTCTTATCCAAGTATTCTATTCTATTCAACCTATCCTTGTCATCCCCGCTGAAACACAACAATTGGCCTGGTTGTCCTCCTTTTTGCTTGTTCTCTGCTTTCTTTGTCAATGCATTATCGCCTATTTTTCCGTAGGTTGAGTAAATCTGGTGGAGCGGATGCTAAAAGCGTTAGCGGGAGACAAGGGGGATAAATTCACAGGGCTTATTATTGAATCTGACCAGAACCTTTTAATCTTGTCCCCCATCTTCCTCTCGAAGACCACAATTTGCCATAAAATTATCATCTTCCTTGTTTCTGTTCCATAGCATCTGATCTTCTGTTGTAGGCCATGTTGTGGTGAGAGATTATGTGCAATGATCTGAACTCCCATTTTTCATGCAAAACTCGGACAACTCATTGGACGATCACTTACCACTTCATTTTTTTGCCCAAATTTAATTATTAGTCCCTGTGAAATAGAACAAAATGGGTTCAGAAAGTCCCTCCATAATAAACCTTGATAATATTTTAGATATGGTACATGCTAGAATTGGCTGCCACATGGCTGGAGTTACGATTCTTCCTTCATGGAGATAGCATTGGAGAAAGGGATTGTATTGGCAGTGGCTGGTGGATTATGGCGAATGGTGCTTGTTCTTGTGGTGGGATAGATAGGGTGACACCACTTGGCTTTCTTTTCCGTCTTAGCCTTATCTCATCTCTGGATTTGGATTGGGTCAAGGGCAATGAATAAGGAAAGTAAAGCATACAAAAATATGTATTGGGTTACAAAAATTGAACAAGGAAAGCTGCTTTAAAAAGACGTGAAATATTGGTTTATTTTTCATATTTTATATAAATGTTTTATACAAGGATAATAATTAAGGATGTTAAATATTGAATTTTCCCCATATTTTATATAAATATTTTATAAAAGGTTATAATTAGAGACGTTAAATATTGGGTTTCTTTATTCAACTTATTTCCATTGGTTTTCACTCTCTAATCAAATAAAGATGGGTGGTTTTTTTAATAATTTTAATTAAATGTATTATTTATTCCCCCTCACGTTTATTACATATTATCCGAATATAGTCTAAGACTTAAAAAGGTCAGGAGCTTAAGTTTGGTTTTAGATGTTATTACTAAGGCTTGGGTTTATGGATGTGGAGCAAAAATTTATGATTGGGTTTTAAAGGATCATTTTCATTTAGGATTAATGTAAAAATAAGTTTCCAAATTATGAAATTATACTCAAGGTTATCTTTAGATGCTTAAAGAATTTTTCGTTAAAAACATGTGTCTAACATTTACGATGTTATACTTTTTAGATGTTTGCCGTTTAATTTGGTCGTTAAGTAATACATGTAAGGCTTATAGAAGTTCTAAAAATTTATTTGAAAAATCTGAGATGAATTCAAAATAGTATATTTTCAAACTCTCAATCCTTTGACAAATAAAGTTCATACCACTTCATGTTTGATTTCAAAAATAGGTATATCGTCTATTAATCAATTAATATAGATCGAAGATTATATAAACTTATTTTGAACACAATATTTTCAATTTAATTTATAGACTCACAAATGTCAAGATTTGAATTTTTGATTTTGTTTAAAGAATTTAGCGACTTACCTCACTACACTAATTAATTGTTGATAAACATATTTTTTTAATAATTGGATATAATATTTTTACAACTTAAATCTTTTTTTAAATGAATTAAAAAATATTGAATAGGTAAATATGTTAAATTTTACATCTTCATGTATATTGTACATATTGCAATATTAATTAAATATTAAAAAAACTTACAGTTGTTTTAAGTGAAAAAAAATAATTAATTAACTCATGAATTTTGATAGTTTATAATTTTATAAATTTAAGAATCAAAATTAAATTTTATTTTTGTATAATTTATAATTATTTTTAAGTGTAATTATATTTATTTTACGATTTAAAAATAATTATTTTATAGTTTGACCTCGGTGGTAAATGAATTGTTGTTATTCCTTGAGGTCTCAAATTCGGAATGAAGAATTAAATTTAAATTATAAAGAATTCTTCAATCAAATAATGATACATGTCACAATCTGATTGGAGGATTAAATTTATTGAATCAAATTAAAATTAGGATCAAATTAATAGAATGTAAAAATATTGATGATCATATATATAATTATACAGATTTTATTAGTTGTCCCGTCATCATTTCTATTAAAAAATTGACTTGATTGACAACAATTAAATAGTTAAGTGATTTAATTAATAAAATTGAAAGATCGACGACTAAAGTACAATGGATAAATAATTAAGTGATCATTAATATAATTTATCCAATATAATATATCATAAAAGTGTCAACAAGATTTTCACGTCATAATTTTTTTCACCTAATAAATAACGATTTTATCAATATTTTACTTTTTTTTCTTAAATAATTTACCCCCATCCTATTTCCTTTAATTTTTTATTTTCCTCGATATTACCCTAAATTAACCAGCTAATGATCCTAATTTCTCCGGTCTTGGCCTCCACCTTCTTCCTGCAAAATTTCCCCGTTTACCAGGCTCTAAACTTCGTAATTGCATACAACAAAAACAAAAGCAAGCAACTTTGACTATTGATTTAAAAATTAAACACGATTATCTTAGAAACTACAGTTTACAAGCACTTGACTAGATGCAACGCATGCATGGTTGGATTCAACATTTAAAATAGGAAGAAGAAGAAAGCATAAGTATCAATGTTATAGTACTAGTTTATTAAATATGTATTGTACCAAATGGTATCAATTAGCTTCTCCAGGCTGCCATTGTCAATGTCGATACAGATATAGCCATCCTGTGTTTATCTACCATATTAAACTCTCTTAGACCCCACTTATTATTATACTGCAATAACTCAACCTTGACATTTTTTTCTTACCATTGTTTAAGAATTTTGAGGCATAAAGAAGTAGGAGATGGGATATTTGACCATGAACACCAAATTTAATCTGGGTTTCCTTCTTGGAACGTAAGAAACCTTTTCACGGGAATATGCCCTTTTCCTAGAAAGTCATCAAAAGAGAGAAAAACAGAGGAAAGTTTAGAAAGACAGAGACAAAGAAAGAGAGTTTGTATGTGTATGTGAAAAGTGGAATTTTCACGGGAAACTAAATCATTTTCCGTTCAAAAGGTTCACACTCGTCTTTGAAATATATATTACTAGAAAACCTCCCAAAGAAGAAATTTTGAAGAAAATTACAAAGAGAGAAGCTTTTCATCTACCGACACTCTCTCTGAATCTGCAGAAAGTCTTTCTTTAGTCAGGGTTGAAGTCGGGTTCGGGTAACCCAAAAATTCGAATACCGAGAGCATGTCAATGGAAACAAGCCATGGGTCAGGGGATCACGGCATCGAAGGAATACCAACTCATGGTGGACGCTATGTTCAGTACAACATTTATGGTAACCTCTTCGAAGTTTCCAGAAAATACGTCCCTCCTCTTCGCCCCGTAGGCCGTGGTGCTTATGGTATTGTCTGGTATGAATTTTTTTACCTTCCTACTTTTAACCTTGTTTTGTTTAAAGTTCCTAGCTTGATTGAATTACCGTTTGTTTCATTTTCTGGGGTTATTTTGATCTTGAGCTTCAATATGATAGTTTTTCAAGAAGTCAACATGTGATCATTTTACTTTTGTTAGATTTAAGTTTCTTGATTTATAAGTTAATTACATGTTCCAGTTGGAACTTGATAATATATGTCCTGTATTGATTCTTAAGGAAAATGAAAAGTCTGGGTAAATGGTGATGCAGTTTATAAATGCATTTTGCAGAGTGATTGCTTTTAATCAATCGAGTCAAATTTTACTGTTCCCTTGTAGCGAATGACTTTAGGGTCTAGCTTTCAGGCTGAGAAGATTGAAAGAAAGTTGACATTCTGTTCATTAGGCTTACTGTCTATTTGATTGAAGATAAGATTTGATTCCCCTGTGGTTTTTGCAGTGCCGCGGTGAATTCGGAGAAACGGGAGGAGGTTGCAATCAAGAAAATCGGTAATGCATTTGACAATAGGATCGATGCCAAAAGGACATTACGAGAGATCAAGCTTCTTCATCACATGGATCATGAGAATGTAAGTTCTTCTATTCGTTTTCGTGTTAGAAGATACCATCTAACCATGCTTTTCCTAAGTCTTATAAAAGTTGCAGATGTCGGTCTTTATATGCTTCAATGAAATTGGAGGACATTAAAGTTTGCCATGTGCACATGACTAATGCTTTTACCATTGTTAGTATGCAACCAACAGAGGATAGGTTCTATTGTCGTATATGCATCTTAGTAATGGCATGAGGGTGTACCGAAGTAGTAATTTCTGATTGTGGAATTATAGCTCGACTGGTAAGTGCTTTATTTCTTCAGGTGATTGCCATCAAAGACATCATACGACCACCACAGAGGGATAACTTTAACGATGTCTACATTGTTTATGAACTCATGGACACTGATCTTCATCAAATCATACGATCCAACCAACAATTGACAGAAGATCATTGTCGGGTTGGTATCAAATAATTTCCCTCATATAATGATCTTCCTGTCATATTTTGTTAGAAGCATTGCATGATTTATGTTTAGTCACCTGGAAGCTGGAACCATTGTTGATTATGTAGTGCTACACTTGCAGTACTTTCTATATCAAGTTTTACGAGGGCTCAAATATGTACATTCAGCAAATGTGTTGCATCGCGATTTAAAGCCCAGCAATTTGCTTCTGAACTCTAATTGTGACCTTAAAATTGGAGACTTTGGGCTTGCAAGAACAACATCTGAAACTGATTTTATGACAGAATATGTAGTCACACGTTGGTATCGGGCACCAGAATTGCTTTTAAATTGTTCTGAATACACTGCTGCAATTGATATTTGGTCGGTAGGTTGCATACTTGGTGAAATCATGACTAGACAACCCCTCTTCCCCGGAAGAGACTATGTGCATCAGTTGAGGCTTATCACAGAGGTATTTTCTAGAATTTTCTCACTAGAAACTATAGGAAAGTTATTTAGATTCTCTTCAACACTTTGCAGTTTTCTTGAAGTTCTGATATCTTTTAATTGCATCCTACTATGCATCTTGGTATAAGATTCGGTCCATTTCTGTTGGCCCTGTATTGCAAGATTCTCGGATGCATTTTGCTTCCTCGGTGAAATTGCATGATCTTGTACTCTAACAAGGGTCATCCTAGAAATGCTATCACTGAACAAGTAGCTAGATGGTTCAGCATTTAGCCTGTAAGGTCTTTATGCAAAATCAAAATCTCCAAGAAATGAATTTATTATCGTTCGAGGAAGACAAAGGTCTGAACTTTGACCTTCTAGATGGTTTAACATTGTCTGGGGACTTGCATTCATGTCCTATATTAATTGTTGTGTGTCTTAGTGCTTATTTTGATGGAGGTTAAACAAAGTATGCTGAACCTGTATGATTTCTTTTATCTTGAATAGCTTATAGGTTCACCTGATGATTCCAGCCTTGGGTTCCTTCGAAGTGACAATGCCAAAAGATACGTTAGGCAGCTTCCACAGTACCTAAGACAAAATTTTTCAGCTAAATTTCCTAACATGTCACCGGGGGCTGTCGATTTGCTAGAAAAGATGCTTATCTTTGATCCGCATAGGCGTATTACAGGTATAATTAGTTGCTGAACTCTTAGTCTCATTTCACAGTTAAGATTCGTATAGTTCTAAGCTTGTTTTAAGCACATGTTCCTATTTTGTGTTAATTCTTTTACCAGCGTTGGAAATTTTGCATGATGCTTTTACTCGGAACCACGTCTCTTTTCTTCCTTTGCTAACAACTTTTCATTGTTTGTTGAAGTCGATGAAGCTCTATGCCATCCATACTTGGCACCTCTTCATGACATCAATGAGGAGCCTGTTTGCTCGAGGCCTTTCAGTTTCGATTTTGAGCAACCATCATTCACTGAAGAAAATATCAAGGACCTCATCTATAGAGAATCTGTAAAATTCAATCCAGACCAAGTTCAGTCCATTGGAGATTAAAAAGATACAAGAATTGTCCTAGAGTACTCTTAAACAGAATAGGAGTCGATTCCAGTTTCGATCTCTTGTTGTCTGCAGAGCATTTCCTGCTCTTCAGAGTGATTCAAACCCTTGTTGGATTAGGCTTTTCTTTCGACCGTAGAAAGATTAGTTATTCGAGCCGATGATGCTGTTACGACTTCATTCTAGCTTGAGGAGTAAACCAGAAACATGCACACATGAAGGCTTCGGTTTTCTAAACTGCTGATTCTATTGACTTATCATTCTTATCATGAAACTAAGAAGTTTAGTATATTCTGTTGCTTCCATCAAGCTGGTTTCTCCTGGGATTCCTTCTGATTCTGTTTTTTTAGGTAACGTAGTTGAATTGGTAATACCTGGTTTTATTTTTCTCGAAATAAGAATGTTCTGCACAAAAATTGGTATGTCTTATGCTGGTGAATGATGATTCTTTCAATGTTTGTACTACCATTTCGAAAGCAGTTTTACATGGATGATCCATTTAAGTGCATTTACTTTATATAATATGATATAACTGGTCATAAGATATTTAAGAAACAGAAATATTGGCTGAATGAGTTTAGTTTGGTTGGTACAATATAAAGAGGATGTGATATCCAACATGTTTCTTTTGCCGCATTTCGCTCAAAGGGTTGAAGGGAGATAGTGCATCAAGCCGTTCGCAAGGGCCAACTTGATCCTCTTCCCCAGGGATCCCAGATCGCTTGAAGCTTCCTATTTGCCTTTCGGGGGTCCCCCGTTGATAGATAGGGGCAATCTAAGGTAGACAGGATGAGGTTACCCGACACTAAGGAAGAAGAAAAAGAAAAACTGCAACAGAAACTTGGTGAGTTATCAGAAGATACACAATCCAGTCCTCAAGTCGTAGAAGAACCCATACCTTTCCTTTCACCGGTCAAGAAAAAAAAAGCCAGAAAGAATAAAAAGTAAGCCCTTGGCGAACTGGTTGGTGTGCACCGCAGAACTGCAGAACAAGAGCAACCGAGCCAACAAGAAGTCAGAGAAGAAACTAGGCCACAGCCGCAACTACGAAGATCAAGCAGGCAGTGTTTAATATCTTTTGATAGTAGAAAATAAATGGACAGTGATTTACACCCTGAAGATGGGTTATTGAAGGGATAATCACGAATATAAACGGTAAAACAAACAAACAAAAAAACCAAGGATGCACTAATCGAACCAGATAAGCAGGAAGAACAGCATCTTTGTAAAGAGAGTGTGAAGTGGCTGGTGAGGCTAAAGTTCCCATTCAGCCAATTTCCGGCAGGAACATGAAGCTGAGCTCCGCCCTTGGATGCATACTTGCTCATATTATAAGCCGCATCCTTGAATGCTTTAGTATTCGACGTTTTGCCGTCACCAATTCCTCCAAAATCTGTGATTGAAGCACCGTGTCCTCTGCAGCTTATAGCAGTGTACTCAAAGGACTCCACCGCACTTCTTTTCCTGGCCTCTGCTCCTCTTAGACCCACCATAAATGCCACCAAAACAAGGACTGTGGCTATCCTGGCCACCTGCAACGTTATGAACATATTAGAAATTAGAATAAAAATAAACAAATAAGTAAAGCTAAGTTAGTTGATTAGAGAGAAATTGATAAGGTTGGTTTAATTATTGTAATATAATCTTATGTTGATAGTGCATAAAATTAAAGTTTGAGTATTAACTTTTGAGTAAAAATTCTTTAGGTACCAATTTGGGAGTAGGTGTCTAACTTAAATACTAAATGTATATTTAAGTCAAATTATCAAAATGATGTGAATTAGAGAAAATCGCCTCAGTGACCAAAAATGCCTTATAATATACGATTTTAACTAACTTTTTTTGGATTTGCCAAAATGACCAACAAAATCGCAACGCGAAATAAAAATCGCAACGCGATCCCCAGAATCGCAAATCAGTTTCCAAAATCGCAACGCGATTCTTGAAAATCGCAATGCGATAGTACAAATTCGCATTGCGATTTTCCAGAATCGCAACGCGAATATGAAAATCGCAACGCGAACACATAAATCGCAACGCGTATCCGTAAATCGCAACGTGTATCCGTAAATCGCAACGCGTATCCGTAAATCGCAATGCGTATCCGTATATCGCAACGCGTATCCGTAAATCGCAACGATAATCCGTAAATCGCAACGAGAATCTGTAAATCGCAACGATAATCCGTAAATCGCAACGAGAATCTGTAAATCACAACACTGAAATTTTGGGTATATAACTACGAAACAGCAGCAAATCATAAACTAAATCCCTAAATCGCAACTCATTCCATCTCCATCTATCACTCTCTCCGGCGACATCCGTTCCTATATCCAACGACATCCTTCCCAATCCGGCAACAGGTTTTAGTTTCGCAGCTCGTCTGTTTAGTAAATTAATTTACAACCATGAAATCATCTAATGTTGATCATGTTTGGATAGATTTGTGTTTTGGAGGGTCATGGGATAATGTTCATGGTGTTTTACAATATATGCCTTTACCCATGAATCTTCAACTAAAATTGTCTTTACAAAAGTTAACTTATGAAACTCTAATGCTACGTGTTTCAAATAAATTGAATTTAGAGCCCCTAAGTGGATTTAGGCTATCTTATCAGAGAAATGGTAAAGTTTATTTGTTAACCGACAATGAAGATGTTGAACGATTCATTGCTTACATTAGTGTTTCACAAGATGATGTTACATTGTATGTTGTTGAACCTAGAAGTAGTATTGTTGGGTCAGTAGCGGGTAGTAATCAACTAAGTTTTTCTCAAAACCCACAACCTTTCTCTAATCCAAATCCCAATCAACTTTCAGCACCAAATTCTGGTTTTCGTATTGACCAGTTAGACGATGATGAGCCAACAGAAAAAATTGTGAGTACTAGTCAGTATTCGAAATTTGGTCTTGGTCAATATCCGGACTTTGATATTGGTCAATACACGGATTTTGATGATGTTTCAGAAGAAGAAACAGACCCTGCGTGTAATGATTTTGATATTGGTCAATACCCGAATTTTGATGATGAAACAGCCGTTGCCGAAGAATGTATTGTTGATGATAATGAGGAGGAAGTTACGACTGTGAATGAACATGTTGAACATCCATTCTGTAATTCATATAATCCTGAAGAAGAAAAAGAAGAAGAAAAAGTCCCCGAAGAAAAGAAAATGCCACGGGCGTATAACTGGAATATGCCAGAATTACTTCAGATACCGGAAGAAGAGTTGGTAAAGAAAGCAGTTGATTGTTACACAAAAGTTATTCGTATCAAGAAAGATGATTGTTTTGATACAAAGGAAGACTTGAAGATAGCTTTGTATACGAAATGTGTGGAAGATGGCTATCAACTAAAAGTTAACAAATCAAGCAAAGATCGTTTCGAAACAAGGTGTATGATTGACAAAAACTGTACGTGGCGTATGATTGCAAAGAGAATAAAAGATTGCGAAATGTTTCAAGTTAGGACTTTTATTGATAAACATACATGTTCAAGAACCCAAGTTTTTCCTCACCATAGACAGGCAAACAAAAAGGTGTTGGGTGGTTTTCTGGCTGAGTTAATGTTTTTGAATGGCAGGGTATATCGGGGACATGAAATTATGACTGACATGAATGCTCGGTTCAAGATTAGTATATCATATTCTCAAGCTTGGAGAGCCAAATGTTATGCCTTGGAATTGTTGAGGGGGTCGCCAGAAGCATCGTTTGCCCAACTGCCGGCTTATTGTCACAATTTAAAGCTGAAAAATCCTGGGTCGGTAACTCATATCAAAACAGATAGAGATGGACGCTTTGAGTTGCTATTTATCGCCATTGGTGCTACGGTTAGTAAATCAATATAATTTTGTTGACTCATTTTTGTTAGTTACATGCATTTCACATTTAAATGATTATATTTCTTGTGTATATTATTTTGTAGATTCGTTCGTTTATTACTTGCATGCGCCCAGTTATTATAGTTGACGGAGCACATTTGAAAGGTCGATACCTTGGAGTAAACTTATTAGCAGTAGCCATGGATGCTAACAATGGGATATTGCCAATAGCTTACGGGGTTGGCAAATCTGAAACATCTGATTCATGGACATGGTTTATGGGGCATCTTAGGGATTGCATAGGTCCTATTAGCAATCTGACAATCATATTCGATAGGGCAAACTCAATTGACAACGCTGTTAGAAGGTGTTTCCCAGATGCTTTTCATGGACTTTGTGGTGTTCATTTGTATATAAATCTAAAATCAAGGTCTGCTGGTATAAAAAAGCACAAATGGACATACTGGAAGGCTGTAAAAGCTTATCGGGAAGTGGATTTCAATAAGCATATAAATTGTTTAAGACGTGTTTTGCCTCAGTGTGCTCAAACACTAGAAGATGTCGGGTTTGAAAGATGGTCAAGAGTACATCAACTTGGAGCAAGATATGGTTTCATGACGTCTAATAGTGCAGAATCAATCAACGCTCTAAGTCGTCATTCCCGAAAATTACCCATTACTATGTTAATGGAGTTTTTTCGAGCCTCTATTCAACAGTGGTACTACAAGAAAAGAAACCATGCAGGTATTATTTCTTTGAATTCGTAACTTATCATATTTATATTTTACTAAGTATTGTTTATTTAAATTTACAGGAACATTGGAACATCGTGTTACACCATGGACTGAAAAAAAGATAACGAAACGTGTTGTGAAGTCAACGTCATGGAGAGTTGAACCATGTTCAAACACTTTGTTTCAAGTACTGGATAATAACTTAAATGGGCTAGTCGATCTAAATGCAAAGACGTGTAGTTGTATGAAATGGCAAACATCTGGTTATCCGTGTGGCCATGTTATAAAAGTTGCTCTTCATTTAAACCAAGATGATTCAAGCACATACGCTATGGATTGCTACACTACAGAAGTTTATCGACAGACTTATGCCGAGATTGTCTACCCTATTCCACATCCTTCTGAGTGGGACATACCAGATGACTTACAAACAGTTTTGCCACCAGCCATGGTCAGAAGGCTACCTGGCCGACCAAAAAGTCACGATCGTATACCGTCTAAGGGTGAAGAGAAGAAGAGATCGACATGTAGTCGGTGCAAGGAAAGTGGTCATACAAGGTTGACATGTGGATCACCAGTGCCATCAAAATCATCTTTTCCTCTACCAAAATATGGATCCTCATCAAAATCCAAAGCTCATATGGTGTCAAGCAAAAGGCAATCATCTTTAAAATCCCAATCACAATTGGCTTCACCTTTTGGGACTGTTAACTTAGGTGATTTTTAAATGCAAACGTTGTATTATGTGGATTTTATGTGTGAACTTTTAACATTTTCAGTTGAATTAATGACTCAGGCCAACCATTTTGACTTAACCAACTCTT